AAAAAAAAAAAAAAAATTGAGTGGCACAGGCAAATAATTTCTCCTGACAGAATTTCTAATAATGATGAATGAGAGATGTCAGTAATCACTGTATGAAGTCAGTAAAAACAGATTTGGATGAAAAATATCATTTTCTTCTCTTTTTACTATTATCATTAGCTACTATTAATTGAAGTTAGGCTCAGGCTGCTTACTTTATCCATATTATTTCATTTAATCTGCTTAATAATGTCACAAAGAAAGTATAATAACACCCATTTTATATATTTAGAAACTGAGGCTCAAAGAAATTAACTCACCATCTAAGGGCATGAAGTAAATAGCCCTACCCTATTTCTTCAGACGTTCACAAAGGTCTGACTCTGAATGTAGCTTCTGTATCTAAGTTTCTGCCTAATATAGCCAACGCCTAACCCACACTGATATCCAAATATGGTTGTATAATAATGTGTCATTTTCTGTTGGGTTTTTTAACCTACAGAGTTTCAATCTGGCTGCTCCATTTAAGACAGGTTTCCTGGTGTTCCTGTTGCAGGTCATAATACAAACCCACAAAGCAACAGGAAATCAAAATGGGTTAGAAATAAACAACCTTTGACAGAAAACACAGCACCCAAAAGCAGACCTAGTACATGTGAACCGGAAGATAACTCTATAAATAAACCACATTGCTAGATGCTTAACGCGTACCTTTTAACTGCACGGAAGTCAGGAAATTTCAAAGTGGAAGTTCAATAAAGGCACTCCCTTGGGCCCTTTGCCTTAAGGACACACATATTAACACTCAGTTCTACACAGATGACGAATTAAAGTCAAAAAAGAAACTGCTATCTTAGCCCAAGTGTTACTCAACAAAAGTAACCTATACTCAGAAATAATGTGCTGGAAAGTGTCTGGCTCTGGAGGCAGTCTTCAACTTGTGTCTCAGCTCCTCCACTTACTACGTGACCTTGGGTAGGTCATTTAACCCCTCTGAGCTGCGGTTTCTACAACATATCATGGTGCTATTAATGAGCCTTTTAAAAAGATAATAGTAACAATAATAATGACAGCTAACACTTATGTAATGATAACTATGTGCCAGAAACTATTGTAAGTGGTTTACATACATTAACGCATTTGAACCTCACAACGACCATATAATGACTATTATCCTCATTTTACAGATGAGAAAACAGTGATACAGAGAGAGAAATAATTTGCCTAAGATTTGAATTTAAGCAGTCTATACCTCACTGTGCACATAAAGCACTTAGTACAAGCCTGGCATCCAGTAGGTGCACAATAAATTATTATTATAACTATTATATTATTCACACTATCAAAATTTTTTAAAATTATTTGAAGCACACATTCTTCTCCCAAAATTGAGTTTCAAAAACTTGAATTGCCCTGTTCTTCACAGAAGGTGCATTTTAATTTCAGAAAGATCCAGACGATGAAAGCAGTCCTGGTTACTTACTGTCCCAGCAACCCCTCTGAATCCAGCTGTATATTAGTAACACATACATTTTCATAAATGTGCATATGCATGCATACAGGCTCTTGTACTATAAAGAATACTTTCACATCTACTATCTCCTTTGATTCTCACAACAACCAACTCATTTACTACCATCAAGTCAGAACCGACTCATAGCGATCCCTCCTTGGGTTTCTGAGGCAGTATCGCTATGGAAATAGATTGCCCGATCTTCCTCCTGAGGAGTGGCTGGTGGGTTTGCACCGCCAGCCTTCTGGTTAGCAGTCAAATGCCTTAGGCATTATGCCACCAGAGCTCCCCACAACAATCAAAGTAGTGATTAAAACCAAAAAAAAAAAAAAAACCCACTGCCATCAAGTCAATTCCAAATCATAGTGACCTACATGACAAAGAACTTTCCCATAGGGTTTCCAAGGCTGTAAATCTTTATGGAAGCAGACTGCTTCATCTTTCTGCCACAGAGCTGCTTGCGGATTCAAACCACTGACCCTTCAGTTAGCAGCTGAGTGCTTACCACTGGGCCACTAGGGCTCCTTCTCAAAAGTCTATTTAGTTTTTTGCAGCATCTGACCATAAACAGCCAATGGTGGAATGAGAACTTTAACAGGTGAAGAGTTTTTGTCTAGGAGCTAGGAGGTAAGGATTCCAAAAGTTCTATCTCATCACTCCAAAAAATCCCCCTTTTAAGATTCACAACCACCTAGTATTCAAAAAGCACTTGTGACAGTTCCACCACTGACTTAATTGCAACTTGCATGATTTGTGACAAGTCATTTCTCCTACCAATGTTTTGTTTCTTCAACTATAAAGTGACAGGGTCAGACAAGATTTTCACCCTTGCCAACTAGGAAACCACAAAAACCTGGGAAATACAACATAGAACGTGGTGCAAAAGAAAAGACACCAAGCTTAGAAAAAGCCTAACTGTCCTGGTTCCAGCACTTCCCAGCTTCATGCATGACCTTAGGAAAACCAAACTCAATCTCATTTGCAAAATATGCATCACAAAACTATTTGTCAGGTTTATGGGAGGACTGAATGAGGTAAGGACCACAAAGGCACTCTGTCAATGGAAAGGGGCTACTGAAATGACAACTGTTTTTCCACTGGGCAGCACAGGGTACTGGTTAAAAGTCCAAGCTTTGAAGTCAGAGACCTGCATTTGATTTGTGAACTAAGTGAGCTTCATCACTTAGTAGCCACGTGACCCTGCTAAAGTTACCTCTTTGAGCTTCCATTTCATCATCATGGGGAATAAGGCCTATCCCCCATGAGACTGTTCTGAAAATTACATGTTTCTGATAGATAGTGCTCGCCGAATTAAAAAAAAAAAAAAACTCTTAGTAAGCCCCGCCACCACCTCGTGAGCCGCGTTCTGAAGCGACAGTCCCGCCCCCAGCCTTAAAGGTCAAGCAGGACTCGGCTGGAATGGATAGGGGCGAGGGTGCGTCGATCAGCCACCCTGGAGTCCCCCAGAAGTCCCTGAGTAAGGGGTTTCTGGTACCCAGACCCTGCACGTGCCTCGAACTCGTATCGAGGCCACTCACCCGCTATTGACCAGGTTACTAGGGAAATGCTCAAGCTACAGCGGCGACGGCGATGGCGCGGGCGTAGTGACGACACCAGGCGGCGCGGCGGCGCAGGCGTAGTACGTCACGGGTGGCCTGGCTGCAGGCAGTGCTGAGACAGACGTGCGAGAGAGGGCGGTCGGGTCGTGGAGTCGGAACTTGCAGTTGGGGCATGAGCCGAGGGGACGACGTCGAGGCTACGAGGTGAGTCTAACCGTATTATGCCCCAGCACCTCAGCTCTGACACCGCGAGGAGGTCGTAGAAGAGGCCTCCCTAGCAGGACGGCTTTTTAGGCCCCGCCCCGGATTGTCCCGCCGGTGGCCCGGAAATAACAACCCAAGTAATGACCCGTCGCATCTCGGAATTCGTGGCCCCGAGTCGGGAAGCCGGGGTCCCAGGCTTGACCCTCCGTCAGTTTTTGGGAACAAGTGCCTTTGCTTCTCTGGGCTTCGGTTCCTCCAAATGACTTTTCTTGGTTTCCAGGGTTGTTAACTGCTCAGATGGAAGAATGGATGGAAAGGCGTTTTATGAACTCTGTTACCCAAAGGGCTTATCGCCATTGGAAGCCCAAAGGATTTTGATACTCTCATAATATCTCGGTCTTTCGTTACAGTTCACCATTCCTCAAAAACCCTGTGCTTAGCACAAATCTTGTCTTATTTAAACCTCCTAACGACCCATGAAATAGGGATAATTGTACCCACGGTAGGAAAGAAGAAGAAACTGAGTCTTCCAGGTGAAATGGCTTGTTATAGTCATTCATTCGGTAAATATTGAGTCCCAACCATTATACGGGCAATGTAGTAGGTGTTTGGGATAGAATCATAGTCAAGGTTGACAGTCCCCTGCCCACAATGAGCTTAAATTCTAAGGAGGAAATAAAATGTTAAAACAGTAAATATTAATAACTAAATTAGCAAAATGTGGAAAGGAAAAGGGAGCTGTGATGGAGACTAATGGGATTCTACTCTTATCACGTAAAGCTTGTCTGAGGAGAGGACAGTGGAGGGGAGAGTTTATACTTGTCAAGAGTCACATAGTAAGTAGGCCCAGAAGTCAGGGTTTGGATCCATATTTCTCTGGCCTTGTTTCTTGCATCCTTCCCACTGAAACATGATACCTTCCTGTGGTATTAGTAGATGATGGTATTGTTGCTGTTTTCAAACATAAGGCAATTAGAAAGTCTATTATTCAAGTCTCAGCTTAAGGGTCATCTTTAGAGAGGCCTTCCCTGTGCACTTAATCAAAAGTAGCTCAATCCCAATCCCAGGCTCCCTGTGGAGCACTTACCAATAAATATACCTTGTTTGTTTATTGTACTTCTGTTTTGTCCCACTTCTCCCAAATAACAAGCATCCTGAGGGTAGAGACATTGCTTATTCACTGCTGTTCACCCAGTTCCTAGACAGTACCTAAAAAGTAGAAGTTAAGTAGATATTTTTTGAATGAATGATCTCAAAGTAGGAGGAAAGAAAAGCAGGGAAGACAAAATGTTTCTCCTCCCCTGTTTCCACTTCTGGGATTATATGTTCATATCTGTTTCACCTTCCTCTCAGGAGGGCAACTCATTTCTGTGTTGCCAGCGTATAGCCCAGGGTTTCTCAGTACATGGTTGCTTGTCACCTGTTACAGAACAGATTGAATACCTGAATGGGAGAGAAGAAAAGTACCCTCATGTGCTGAGGGTAGGTAAACACGTTCAGCAAATATTTCTAGGGTCTACTGTGTATTAGACCTTCTAGGGTATGCTGAGATGCATAAGAGGTGATGGCTGTGTTCAGTATATTCATCTGTCAGTGTTAAAACAGTTTTCACAGTGCTGATTTCTGAGGCATGTCTGAGCATATAAAAACCCAAAAAAACAAAATCACTGCCATTGAGTAAATCCTGACTCACAACAACCCCCATTGGGTTTCCGAGGCAGTAAATCTTTGTGGGAGTAGATTGGCCAGTCTTCCTTCCATTGACCAGCTGGTAGGTTTGAACCACCAGCCTTCTGGTGAGCAGTCAAATGCCTTAGGCCCTGCACCACCAGAGCTCCTTGTCTGAGCATATAGGACATGTTTTTTCTAGCAGGGAATTGTGGTACAGCATGCCCTCTGCCAAGCCCCTTTACCCTTTAATGTTCTACCATATTACATGTTTGTGGAGTTTTATTTTAAATTCATCATCTCATTTTTGGCTCTCTTAGCAACCTTAAGTTGCTAAGCAGAACAAGGTTCATTATTTAGAGATGAGGAAACTGAAACTTAAAGAGAAGTGGTTTCCAATGGAAATGCCCAATTTTGAAACCAGGCCTTCAGACATCAAGCTTTTTGCTCTTTCTGCTACTGCCTTCATTATAAACTTCGTGCTCCTTTATTGGCTGTGAGATAGGACATTTCAGGAACTAAGGCTAGTAGTAATTTAAGCTAATATTGATTGAATACTTTCTAGGGCCATGTACTGTTGTAAGTACTTTAGTTGTACTAATTCATTGAATCTTCACAACAACTCTGAAGTATTCTTTTCATTTTACAATTGAGGAAACTGAGGCACAGAGCAGTTAAGTAATTTGACCAGGGTTGCAGAGCTAATAAGTGGTGGAACTTGGATAACTAAGGAGAAAGTCTTTTCTTCCTACTCTCTTCCAAAATATTAAACTAATAGCTAATATTTATTGGTTACTTACTGTCATTAGATACAGTGTTCAGTGGTTTTTCATGCACTATCTTTCATCCTCACAAGAACCCTATAAAATAAGAACTATTATTTCCACTTACAGAAATAAACTGAGGCCTAGAAAGTTCAGATAATTTACCAAGTCACACAACCTACTTTTAAACCTAGTTACATCTAACACCAAAACCTATGTATTTAAATTTCTTATACTACATCTTCCCCTTGCTATATCCTTGAGTAAAAGAAGTACACTGCTACTCTTCCCTCTGCCTCCTTTAGTGCCATTAGGATTCTCTTCCTGGTGGTTTCCAAGGCCTATTTTGGGTGACAGTTGTTGAACTAGAGTATCATGTAGTAATAGAGACTTTGGCCTCCTGCCCAGTCAGCCTCTGGCCTGGGAGGAGGAAAATGTTAGTTTTCTAAACACGGGACCACACCCCCTTTCACCTTAAATGGCAGCTTCTGTGTTCTCGCTGCCAGAGGAGCTGTCCCAGGGGAACTGATGCTGGGGCCCTGGTTGTGGTGTAACTGAGGACTTTGAAGGACTGCCCAGAGGGAATGCCCTCCTTGAATAAATGTTTGTTGACTTGAAGTCTCGTGTTCACATGGTGTTGCTCCTGTCTTGCCTGAATGTTCGCATTTCCTTTAGTATTGCATAGAGATTGATGGAAGCAGAAACCAAAACTCTTCCCCTGGAGAATGCATCCATCCTTTCAGAGGGCTCCTTACAGGAAGGACACCGGTTATGGATTGGCAACCTGGACCCCAAAATCACAGAGTAAGTCTATATCACCTTTCTTCATTACATGCAGAATTGGGATGTTTGCAGTGACTGTGTACAGAAGAATTTTCAAAAGGTGTGGGATATATTTTGGCCCTTTTAGTTATATTTTAATTTATCTTTGAAGGGGGCGTGGTGGTGTTACTAGCCTGTGAACTTGTCACATTTCTTGCATTTAGATTCTTGAGAACACAGACTTAGATACCTTTAAACCATGTACTTTTTCCTACTTGCCAAAGATGTTCTCTCATTTCTACTATTTGAATCTTTGTACCCAGTGGTTGTAGGTTAATCTGCCTTGGGCGTACTTTTGCCACCCCCCACCCCCCCACCCCCAGAAAAACAAGCAGAAGACAGCTTGGTCCCTTTGCAAACAGCAGAGAGGTACCTCTTGACTATAATTCACACACAATGTTAAGTATCCATAGAACCATAAAGGTCACAGCTGGAAAGGATCTTAGACATCGTTCCAGTAGTTTTGGTTTTCATTCACACTTTAAGTCTGAAGGCCCCTTACTTAAAGTAAGCAGAAGTTACATACAAAATAAAAGCTCAGAGCTGCTCTGATTAAAGGAGAAAAGAGATGTGCCTAAAACCTTTTGTCAGCTGCCAACCTTTCTTTGGCAATCCCTGGTGAGGCTCTATGGGACTTCTAGGGATCCCGGAGCATACTTGAAAACCGCTGATATGATCCAGCTCTCTTATCCTACAGTTGAGGAAACTGAGGCCTGAGAAGAGGAAGTGCCTTGCCCAGGATTATAAAACTAATTGAATTGTCCTGATTCCCCATTCTTTCCATCACAGCCATGATAATGGAAAGGAATTTCCTAGCAGAGAGAATTGAGAGGTTTTTCCTCACCCTGTTTGTTTGAAGGGGGGCAGGGCGGTTGCTGGGAGCATGGTGGTAAAAGGTAAATGGATCGAGCTGCATAGGGTCACTGCTTAATGCAAGCATGGAGCACATCATTAATCCTAGAAGTTACTCCCTTCACAGTAGAGTTAAAGTCGAGGGGAGAAAAGGCCCCCAAAAAAACCCTGCTCAGTTGAGTCTGAGATGAGAGGAGGGGGATGTAAGATTGGGTTTGGGAGAAAGGAAAAAGGATGTAAACGTACGGATCAAAAGCATGACAGCAAATTTAGTTCCTTGAACCCGCCTCAAGCAGAAACCAGCTGAATGTAGATCCGTGTGAGTCCCTCTAGAAATTATGATGGTATTATTAGTGTTGCCCCCATATCACATGCCTTGATCAGAGGGACCCTGGAATATAGAATGTGTGTTTGTTCCTGTTCTCTTCTATGGCTCATAGCTTTGAAACTAAATGTTTATACTGCCCAACCTTTCAATTAGTGTCTGTTGATCAGAGAAGTTGTTTCCATCATCTGAAACTCAAGTTATGAGGATATGCACCCTAAGTAGTAGTTTCCATTCCCACCTTTGCTTGTCTGAATGGAAATCTAAAGTGTGGAAACAGTGTTCATGTGTTGTCTGCACTTCTCTGTAATGGGACTCGTTCTAATTGTGTCCTGCTGCTCGGTGAGAAGGTTCACATGGGTGTTTGCCACCTAAGTTTATGTCATAAGTTGGAGTATATGAATGTTATCTTCAGTTAGAGCAGTAACAGGAGCACTGGATCAAAATCTCCCCACGGGTAAAGTCTTTACATCAGGCCAAAGGCAGACATCAGGTACTTCAGACCAGGGCCCTGCTGGCTGGAAGAGCTTGTGTCCTCTTGTGGTTTCCCCACCTCTGTCCCTACCAGAGATCACGTTTACTGTTTCTCTTCTGTGAGTTCCTTATCCTAAAACATTTCAAATAAACTAACTTATTTAATAGTAATAAATTGCTTCTTAAAGATAGAACTGCTGATCATAATTTATGGTTTCCATGAAATATTTAGTATTACCTCATTTAATTTGCCTAATTACAGAAAAAAGGAAAAAAAAATTTTTTTGGTAAGCCTAGATAGGCCTTATCTTGTGCAAACGTAGTTTTCCTTCCAGAGTGGATAACTATGCACCTAGAATAAATACTGAAATACAGTCAATCCCAAACATTGAAGGATTCCACGATGTAACTAACAAATGTGAAAAGATGGTACTTGGCTTATAGTCCAGTCCTGACTCACTGCCATCAAGTCGATTCGACTCATAATGACCCCTCCTTGGGTTTCCGAGGTGGTATCACTACAGAAGTAGATTGCCCATTCTTCCTTCTGAGGAGTGACTGTGTGTTTGAACTGCCAGCCTTCTGGTTATCAGTCAAATGCCTTAAGCACTGTGCCACCAGAAACCAGTCCTAGTACGTATAGATGGAATCCAAATCTCTAAATTTCTGATAACTTTTAACAGAAGTTTGCAGAACACCCTCCAGTATCCATAATTAAACTTAGCCTCTCACCCATAAATTGCTACTAGTTCCTGCTGTTTGCCCCTTCAACAGAACCTTCTTATTTCTCTTTCCTATACATATCCCTGCTGCTTACTACCACTTTTCCTAATCTCTTATAAACTGATTTGAATGCCCTTCTTCTACAAGTAGGTTCCTGGGTCGCACAGTTTGCAACCTCAAGGTTGGTGATGCAGACTCATCTAGCAGTGCTGTGGGAGAAAAGCTGGCCATCTGCTTCTATTAAGTTCTACACCCTGTTGAGCACTTCTGCTGTGTAACACAAACGTTCTCTCACCTTTTATTAGAAGGCATGAGTAGTTAGGGAAAAAACCAAACTCATCTGCCATTGAGTCGATTCCGACTCACGGCAACCCTTTAGGTCAGAGTAGAACTGTCCCATAAGGTTTCCAAGGCTGTAAATCCTTTTTTTTTTTTTTTAATGGCTTAGATCATTGGGGATTTTTTCTTTCTTTTTCTAATTGTGATTTGGGTGAAAGTCTACAGAGCAAATTAATTTTCCATTCAACTGTTTGTGTACATTTTCGTTTCATGACATTGATTGCAATCCCCATAATGTAACAACTCTTTTCCCACTTCTTCCCCTGGTTACCTTTTCCCTTAGTCCATCTTTGCTGCGTTCCTGCCCTCTGAGTTATCTCCCTGTGCAAATGCTGCCCCTTTGATCTCCCATGGTTGATTGTTCTAAGGACTGTGCTTACCTGGCGTAATCATTCATCTCATAGGCCTATCTGTTGTTTGGCTGGACGCAATGGGAGTAAGTTTAATTCTAGGCCCAAAGGGCGACTAAAGGCCACAGTCTCAGGGGGGCTTTACCAGTCTCTAACAGACCAGTGAACCTGGTCTGTTTTATGATTTTATCCCTTTCTGAGTGGTTGACAGTGGTAGTGGTAGCTGAGCACCATCTAGTTTTTCTGGACTCGGGCATGTAGGCTGAGGTTTGCATGGTCCACTAGTCCTTTAGACTAATTGTTTCTATGCATCTTTGATTGTCTTTGTTCTTTGCTGAGGATGAGGAGAAATCAATTGTTGCATCTTAGATGGTCACTTGCAAGCTTTTAAGACCCTAGTTGCCACTCACCAAGGTAGGATTTAGAACAGTGTTTCTGTGTAGTGTGGTGTGGTGTAGTGTGGTATGTCAGTTGGTCTGTATGTCTCTCACAACCATGGTCCTAAGCCTGCAGGCCCATCGACTCCCTCCCTCAAGGTGTTTGGCTGTGGCTAAGAAGTTACCATAACTTTGCCCCCTGTTACCTGTGTTCTAGGAGCTCTGGTAGTATAGTGCCTAAGGCACTTGACTGCTAACCAGAAGGCTGGCAATTCAAACCTACCAGCCACTCCTCGGAAGGAAGGTTAGGCAATCTGCTTCTGTGGTGATACTGCCTTGGAAACCCAAGGAGGGATTACTATGAGTTGGGTCCGACTCAACGGCACATAACACCACCACCACCACCACCTCTGTTATATATATACATGGACATTCTTACAGCACATACATATACATAAGGCCGTAAATCTTTATGGAAGCAAACTGCCTCATCTTCCTCCCACAGAGTAGCTTGTGGGTTCAAGCTGCCAACCTTTTGGTTAGCATCCCAAAGCCTTAACTACTACATAACCATAGGTCCTCTGAATGGTTACAAGGGTATATAAAACAACTGCAATTTTTTTACCAAAAAGCTTTTCCACTCAATGTTTTGAAGCTTATTTTATAATTAATTTCTAATCATCCTATGTGTTCATTCATGTCTGTTACTCATTAATCCAGTCCTGCTCAAGTTATTCTAGGATGTCTATTCTCCTCTCAACAGACTATACGTTTCTGACTGACTAACACTCTAATATTCTGCTTGTGGTTAATTTGTCTTCACTTTGTGGTTGTACTACTGACCATTTTAGAGCCACACTAGATGGCAGGATTTTGTGTGACTCATAGATCTTAGCTGTTTGGATTTGCAGGAGTGATGGTGCACTCTTCTTTATGGAGGTAGCAGATTGCAAGCCTGGGTTCTTTCTACTATATTCTGACTCTGAACTACATTTTGTACCTTATACCTGTTACCTGTAAAAGGAGAACATTCAACTAAATGATCTGAACATCTCTCTAGCTTTAACATTGCATGAGTTGGTCCTATTTAAACTTACAACAACCTTATGAGGTGAGTGGAACAGATACTATTTTCCCTGTGTTACAGGAAAAAAAAAAGGCTGAGTGACTTGGCTCAGTTTTCTGACATAGTTAATGGTAGGACTAATTTCCCACCATCTAACCTTAATGCTCTTTGCACAAATATTCTAATAGTCCAAATAATCGAACAGTCATAACGTAGAGTATCTCATTTTAAATTTAAAAATGTAAAGCCTTCTTTAAACTGTTGTAGGACTTATTCCAATTCCTATGGGCTAATTAATACCTCTAAATATCATTACCACTGCCTTTAACAGAGAAGCCAAAAAAGTTAATGGCCTTAGATTTTATCTGTTTTCCACACTGTAATTTCCTCTAAAAGGGTTACTACTAACTTTCCTTTTCAGATGTTGACTGCTGTGAAGAGAGCCAAATTAAGAACCACCGTGTTGTGCGTGGTTT